ACCTGCTACTAACCTCCTAACCTCCACCCAGTCTAAGCTCCTCCTCTAGCAGTGACCCATACCTGTGCAGGTCTGTTCTCATGTGGTTCTTGTTGTTCTTTAGGTTCACTGAGAAGGGGAACCTGGAGGTTCTGCTCTTCACCATCCAGAGTAAGATGAGAGCCAACAACCAGAAGGTCTACATGCCCCGCGAAGGCAAACTCATCTCCGACATCAACAAGGTCAGAGCTGCTGCAGCGACTCCAGACTCCCTGAATGTCACCGTCTGCTGTTCTGTTAGAGTACCAGCATGTGGAGCTGGATCAGAACCAGAAAACCGGCAGCAGTTCTGATCATTGGTTCAGTGTTTCTGTGACAGAATTTAAAATGTGTCAGAATCTTGCTGAGCAAAACAAGGCGTGGTTACACCTCAGAACCCTGAACCACCTTTAGCACAGCTGCACCGATCATTTAGCTGTCGGTCGTTTTCTGGATCATCGATCAGCTGTTTGGGCTCTGCAGCGTCAGAATGTGTTGAAAAAAGAGGATCAGTGTTTTGCTGTGTTGGTCGGCAGGCCTGGGAGCGGCTGGAGAAGGCGGAGCATGAGCGGGAGCTGGCTCTCAGAACGGAGCTGATTCGTCAGGAGAAGCTGGAACAGCTGGCCAGACGTTTTGATCGCAAGGCAGCAATGAGAGAGACGTGGCTCAGCGAAAACCAGAGGCTGGTGTCTCAGGTAGGAACCAGCAGAACCACTGCTGCCTTCACACGTGCTCCTGGTTGCATTTCATATCTGTGGTCCTACTGACACCTGCTCTCTGTCTCCAGGACAACTTTGGTTTTGACCTTCAAGCTGTCGAGGCAGCAACAAAGAAACACGAAGCGATCGAGACGGACATTGCGGCGTACGAGGAGCGAGTCCAAGCTGTGGTCTCCGTGGCGAAGGAGCTGGAGGTGGAGCATTATCACGACATCAAACGCATCACGGCCAGGAAGGACAACGTGATCCGACTGTGGGAATACCTGCTGGAGCTGCTGAAGGCCCGCAGACAGCGACTGGAGATGAACCTGGGCCTGCAGAGAGTCTTCCAGGAGATGCTCTACATCATGGACTGGATGGACGAGATGAAGGTAACCAGACCAACAAGTCCACCGGACAAACTGAAGGTGTGCAGCAGGTGTAACCGTTGGTTGTCTGGTGTTTGGTTTCCAGATGTTGCTGCTGTCTCAGGATTATGGGAAGCATTTGCTGGGCGTGGAGGACCTGCTGCAGAAACACGCCCTGGTGGAGGCCGACATCGCCATCCAGGCCGACAGGGTGAAGGCGGTCACCACCAACGCCAACAAGTACTTTGTCAACGACAGCGGTGAGGAGCTCCATCTGACCTTGGTTTAAATCTGTGTTTGGTTTATGGTAGAGACGCGATATATCGCGACCGTATCATCGGTGTCGGTCCGGTGAACAAACCGATGATTAGATTAGAACACCAGCGCCTTCGTCTCTACGTTTGAGATCGCTGCTATTTCACAGATGTTTTGACCCAAATGGTCCTGGACTGAATGTTGAATCTGTGTTAGTTCTGTTGGGTGGTAAAGCAGACTGTGTGCTCTGATCGGGCTGAACAGTTTCTCACAGTGCTCACTGACGCTCGTGTTTCAGTGTGAACAAAAATTTAATATCGAGATCGGCGCTATCAGAAATGTTAATATTGGATCTCAGAAGTTTTAGTCTCGTGCGTCACTAGTTTATGTTATTCTGTCATTTGTGTCGTGTTTTGTTTGTGGCTTTTAAACAAGACCAGGAACTGGTCCTGGTTACACCGGACCGACCAGCCAAATGTCTTTCTTTGTGACTGAGTCTGCAGTTAGCATCTCAAACCTTAAAAAATAAAAACCTGGTGGCATGATTATGTTCCTGTCCAGGCTACAAACCCTGCGACCCTCAGGTCATCCAGGACCGGGTGTCCCACCTGGAGTTCTGTTACCAGGAGTTGACCCAACTGGCCGCAGAGCGCCGTGCTCGTCTGGAGGAGTCTCGCCGCCTCTGGAAATTTTTCTGGGAGATGGCAGAGGAGGAGGGCTGGATCCGTGAGAAGGAGCAGATCCTGTCCTCGGAGGAGCACGGCAAAGACCTGACAGGGGCGCTGCGCCTGCTCAGCCAGCAGCGCGCTCTGGAGGACGAGATGAGCGGCCGGGCCGGCCACCTGCAGCACACCATCGCCGAGGGCCAGGCCATGGTGCAGGCCGGACACTTCGGTGCCACCAAGATCCAAGAGCGCATCGACGACCTGCAGGCTCAGTGGGCGGCGCTGGAGCAGCTGGCGGCGGTGAGGAAGAAGAGGCTGGAGGAGGCTCTGGCGCTGCACCAGTTCCAGGCCGACGCAGACGACGTGGACGCCTGGACGCTCGACGCTCTGCGCATCGTCTCCAGCGGAGAGACCGGACACGATGAGTTCTCCACCCAGGCACTGGTCAGAAAGCACAAGGACGCGGCGGCGGAGGTGGCCAGCTACCGGCCGGTCATCGATTCGCTCCACGAGCAGGCCGCCTCCCTGCCCAAAGAAGAGGCGGAGTCAGAGGAGGTGCGCGGTCGGCTGGCTGGCATCGAGGAGCGATACAAGGAGGTGGCGGAGCTGACGAAGCTGAGGAAGCAGGCGCTGCAGGACGCTCTGGCTCTCTACAAAATGTTCAGTGAAGCAGACGCCTGCGAGGTTTGGATCGATGAGAAGGAGCAGTGGCTCAACAGCATGGAGATTCCCGAGAAACTGGAGGACCTGGAGGTCATCCAGCACAGGTAGGACCAACGCTTCTTCCTACCTGTCCATGGCCGTGCATATCTTTCAGAGCTGTGTTGATGTGGACTGTGTCCTCGGCAGGTTTGAGAGTCTGGAGCCAGAGATGAACAACCAGGCGTCGCGTGTTGCTGTGGTGAACCAGATCGCCCGGCAACTGATGCACAACGGTCACCCGAGCGAGAAGGACATCAAGAGCCAGCAGGACAAACTCAACAACAGGTAAAGCTGGGGCAAAGCTAAATGTGTTATTATACTGAAAAAGGTTCTATGATGGCGGTTCTTGTGGTCAGAACACAAGTTCCCACAATGGAAACCTGCCGTAGAGTTGGTTTGTAGAAACACCCTGAAACTGGACTGAACCTTTGTACCGTCATGGTCCTCTTCTCTACCTCCAGGTGGAGCCAGTTCCGCGACCTGGTGGACCAGAAAAAGGAGTCCCTGAATTCAGCTCTTGGCGTGCAGAACTACCACCTTGACTGCAACGAGACCAAGTCCTGGATCAAGGAGAAGACCAAAGTCATCGAGTCCACACAAGAGCTGGGTAATGACCTCACTGGCGTCATGGCGCTGCAGCGCAAACTGACCGGCATGGAGCGCGACCTGGCTGCCATCGAAGACAAGCTGGGTGACCTGCAAGGCGAGGCCCAGCGGCTGGCAGAGGAACACCCAGATCAGGCCAAAGCCATCACAGGCCGTCTGGCTGAGATCACTGCTGTCTGGGAGGAGATGAAGAACACCTTGAAGAACCGCGAGGAGTCTCTGGGTGAAGCCAGGAAGCTGCAGCAGTTCCTGCGCGAGCTGGACGACTTCCAGTCCTGGCTGTCTCGTACTCAGACCGCCATCGCCTCCGAGGACATGCCCAACACGTTGGCCGAGGCCGAGAAGCTGATGGCCCAACATGAAGGTATCAAGAACGAAATCCAGAACTATGAGGAGGACTACCAGAAGATGCGGGACATGGGGGAGATGGTGACGCAGGACCAGACGGACGCCCAGTACATGTTCCTGCGACAGCGGCTGCAGGCGCTCGACACCGGCTGGAACGAACTGCACAAGATGTGGGAGAACCGGCAGAACCTGCTGTCCCAGTCCCACGCCTACCAGCTGTTCCTCAGAGACACCAAGCAGGCCGAGGCCTTTCTCAACAACCAGGTACACCAAAGGTCCACCTGACCGCCGTCTGTAGCACCAGAACCCTGACCCCTAGAGTCAGACCAGGATCCTGAAGCAAACCGATGTCTGTGTAAATTCTCAGTCATCCCGGTCTTAGTAGTCTTTAGAACTTCAGTGGAAGAAACCCGGGCTTCTGTTTGGTTCTGGAGAATGTTTCACCTTCATCCAAGAGCATGCATGGAGGTGAAACATCTTCTGTTCTTAACAGAACCCGAGTCACTGTTACAGTTCTGTGATGTGTCCTGGTATCAGAACAGTTCTGTTCCAGATGGTCTAACTACTGGCGACAAGTTCACAACTTCTTCAAGACTTTAATTTAACAGGCTCAGTATTAATGAATCCCTCTGAGCTGCATCAGAGAACCGTTCCTCTGAGGCTCCCTACAGTCCTACGGTCTGCTCCCCAGAGGATGAACCCTGTGGTTTTAGTGCCTTCTAACACAAACTCGCCCCATTCTCTGACCTTGTGTCTTTGCCCTGCAGGAGTACGTCCTGGCCCACACTGAGATGCCCACCACTCTGGAGAGCGCCGAGGCTGCCATCAAGAAGCAGGAGGACTTCATGACCACCATGGACGCCAACGAGGACAAGATCAACGGCGTGGTGGAGGCTGGCAGGCGGCTGGCCAGCGATGGAAACATCAACGCTGAACGCATCCAGGAGAGAGTAGCCTCCATCGACGACAGGTAGACTAGAGCTCTGATTCACAGGTTGTTGGGACCATTAGCACAAGAGGCTTCATTACAGCTCTGGAGCTTCTGACTCCCATCATGAGGTCTTCCTGGGTGGACGTGGTCACGGAATGGTAGATGTTTTAATGTCCATGTTTCCTGAGGACTTGACAGCTGATCCTGACTCGACAGGCAGCAGCTCAACATGTCAAACTGGTGAATTATGAAAATCCAATCATGTGATGAAAAACTCCACAACAGCTGCATGAACAGATCCTGTAGTCGGACTGTTTGTCCACGTAACTCCTCCCACTGCAGTAGCTGTGGTGTTGATAGAACTAAAGTAACGCTGCAGCTTGTGTTGTGTTTAAAAACAACCAGGACAGAACGAGGACGTTGGAGGAGCTCCAGCTGCTGGTCCTTAGTTGACATTTAAAAATGTTTCAGAACGTCAGATGTTGATTTCTGGTATCCTCGGTCTTAATATTTGATGCTTTCTGGCTCCACACTCTGTGAACTCTAAATCTAATGTATGATGATACAGTGTGTGACTACAGTACCTGCACAGGTGAGCGTGGACGGCTGCTGCTCCGCCTCCGCCTCTCAGCAGTGGAACCTCAGTGTCCTGTCTTTAGCTTTTAGCTTCGTCCTCTGTGTTTCAGGCATAAGAAGAACAGGGAAGCGGCTGTGGAGCTACTGATGAGGCTGAAGGACAACAGAGATCTGCAGAAGTTCCTGCAGGACTGTCAGGAGGTCAGTGGTACAGACAGCCGTTCACAGACAAACAGAACGGGTTTACGCTCCTGGATCATCTCCTTTACAGATGGCATGAGGTTTAGTTTTGGCTCTACTCGAGGTGGGAGGTAAAGACATCGAGGAGGCTGGTTTACAGTCCTGTTCTGCAGAGGATGAGTCTTTAGATCAGCGCTCTCCAACCTTTGCTGCACCACGGACCGGTCATTACACACATAACAAAAAACAATATTTTTTTCTATTAAAAAGTTTCACAGACGAATAAAATTACTTATTAAATATGAGTTTAGTCTTTCTTCTGTCTCGGCATCGAGTCTTTCCTGAGAAGCTCTCCGGAGACGTTTGTGTCAGACTGACGGCTTCGTTTCACAGCGAGCATGAACACTGACAGTCAGGTGTGAAGAGCAAGCACAGGCCGAAGGGACAGGAAGACGATCTAGCACTTTTTCAAAATAAAACACCCTGTAGACTGCGCTGGAAATACAAATAAAACAGTAGAACTTTTTTTCTTTCTTTCGATGCGACCCGGTACCAAATGACCCACGGCCCGGTACCGGTCCGCGGCCCGGTGGTTGGGGACCGCTGCTTTAGATGTTGACCCTGACGGCCTTGGTTTGTGTTTGCAGCTGTCCCTGTGGATCAATGAGAAGATGCTGACGGCTCAGGACATGACGTACGACGAGGCCAGGAACCTGCACAGCAAGTGGCTGAAGCACCAGGCCTTCATGGCCGAGCTGCAGTCCAACAAGGAGTGGCTGGACAAGATCCAGAAGGTGCTCCGCTCGTCTGTCTGCATGTTATTAAATGACAACAAAGTCAGCCTGATGCTTCTCAGATTAATGTTTAAGTCAGTATGACTGCCGGCAGCGCCCCTGAAACTACCGTCTGTCTCCCACAGACGCAGGCTTTGCTAATATTAGCAGTTTAGAAGCTACAAAGGTGTGAAATTTAAGATCTAACAAAATGTCTTCTGTTGGTATTATAGCACCACATGAACATTAAATCTGGCTCGCTGGAGGGTCTGTGAAGTTCACTTGAGCAGGTTGAAAGCACTAAATGGAGGAAGTGAAACCAGGAGGCTGCACATCACATCGTGTTAGCTTAAACATACTAGCAAACAAATAGCTTGTTAGCATTAGCTAACACAAATGAAAACATCAAATAAAGTGATCTGACTCATCAGAATGCGCTTTATAAAAAAAATAAAATGTTGTAATCACTGCCGGTTTTCACAGACGAGTACCGGACAACCTGGTCTGACTGCTGCACATTAGCGGGCTTACATCGGCTAGCGTTAGCTTCACTAGTTTTTTTTTTTTTTAAATATATTTTTTTGGCCTTTGCCTTTATTAAGTGCAGTAGAGGGAGACAGGAAAGGGGGGAGAAGAATGGGGACAGACCTGCAGCAAAGGGTCGTGAGCGGGATTCGAACTCACGACCGCTGCATCGGGGAACTACAGCCCCTGTTCATGGGCCGCCCGCTCTACCAGGTGAGCTATAGGGGGGCCCAGCTTCACTAGTTTTTAACTACTTTCAGCAATAATAACACAAAATGTAATCGCTGCTGCCAGTGACTTTTTTTTTTCTGTTTCATAGTTTGATATTTATATTTAATGTATTATTTTCTTGTTTGATATTCAGTATTTTCTAAATGGTCCAAATTCTGTGAATTCTTAATCAAACTCTGAATTCTCATTGCATGAATAACATGACTGACCTGGGCTTTATAGTCATATCTAATAATAATGTAACCTCACAGGCCACAGTCCAAGTGTCTTTAGCTTCTGGGTCATTTGGTTCTTGTTCCGACTGTGTTTGACCCGAGTCCTCCTGCCTTCAGGACGGCACGCTACTGGTGTCGGAGAAGCCGGAGACGGAGGCGGTGGTGAAGGAGAAGCTGTCGGCGCTCCACGCCATGTGGGAGGAGCTCGAGTCGACCACACAGACCAAAGCTCAGTGTCTGTTCGACGCCAACAAAGCCGAGCTGTTCACTCAGAGCTGCGCAGACCTCGACAAGTGGCTGGCCGGCCTCGAGGGCCAGATCCAGTCCGACGACTACGGCAAAGACCTGACGTCCGTCAACATCCTGCTCAAAAAGCAGCAGGTCAGTTGGCTTCAGTCCGGTTGTAGGTTTGCCTTCTGATGTGTGAGTACGTTTCCTGGACTGAAAAGCTGAGAAGCTAGCAAAGATGTGGGTTCTTCTTTCAGCGCTGGTCCGAGCAGCGTCCGTGGGTTAAGGCTGAGCAGTAACACTAATAATCTGAGTCTGGCTCCCCTGCAGATGCTGGAGAACCAGGTGGAGGTGCGTCAGAGGGAGGTGGTGGAGCTGCAGAGCCAGGTGAAGGCTCTGGGTCAGGAGGTGAAGGACACCGACGAGGTGGATGGTCGGAGGCAAGTGGTGGAGAATAAGTTTCAGGAGTTGCTGGAGCCGCTGCGACGCCGCCGGAACTTTCTGGTGGCGTCCAGAGAAGTTCACCAGTTCAACCGCGACGTAGAGGATGAGATCGTACGTAGAACCAACCTGTACTGTAACCGGGCCTCAGACTGGACGTGACCCCCAGAGCCTCACTGTGCTTCTCACTGTGTTCTGTCTTCCAGCTGTGGGTTCAGGAGAGGATGGCTGTGGCCACGTCCACCGACCACGGACACAACCTGCAGACTGTCCAGCTTCTCATTAAGAAGAACCAGGTGGGAGAACCTTGTGTTTTCAGTTCAGATGGCGGGAGAAGTTTGAGTTTCCCGTTTCTGATAGTGTTCCTATGTTCCCCGTGTTGCTGCGGTCGTCTCAGACGCTGCAGAAGGAGATCCAGGGCCATCAGCCTCGCATCGATGACATCCTGGAGCGCAGCCAGAGCCTCCTGCAGGACGAGTCCTCTAACGGCGACGGGATCCGGCAGCGCCTGGCCGACCTGCAGCAGCTGTGGCGGCAGCTGATGGAGGAGGCGGAGCGTCGGCACGGCCGGCTGGAGGAGGCCCACAAAGCCCAGCAGTACTACTTTGACGCTGCCGAGGCCGAGGCCTGGATGAGCGAGCAGGAGCTCTACATGATGTCAGAGGAGAAGGCCAAGGACGAGCAGAGCGCCGTCACCATGCTGAAGAAGCACCAGATCGTGGAGCAGGCGGTGGAGGACTACGCCGAGACCGTCCACCAGCTGTCCAAGACCAGCAGAGGACTGGTGGCTGACGGACACCCGGAGAGGTTGTCCTCACCTGCATCGCGGACACATGTAGACACCTGCAGCAGAGCCACGCCTGCTGAGGCACCCGACATATGTATTAGCTCACATAATTAACCAGAACCACATGAAAACAGATTCAACAAAACACAAATATTCTGATGGTTTTGCCAAAGAACAAACACGTGGCCCGTCTGAGCTCCCAGCAGCAGGTTCTGGGTGTCTTCTGTCTCATTTTTCCTCACTGTGGCTCATTTTTCTGGAGTACAGAGAAAAAATTCAAACCGTAGGATAAGGTTCTGAGTCCCGCTGACAGCAGACGTCTCTGAGTTCTGTCTCCTTCAGGTTCTGGTTCCACAGAGCTGCAGGACTTCA